CCGGCTGCGCGCCCGGGCCTGCGAGCGCGACCTCCCGCGCGGGTCACCGTGATCGCCCTCGGCCGCAACATGGCCCTGAAGGCCGAGGGCGCCGCGCTCGACTGCTTCGAGGTGACGCTCAAATGCGAGGAAGGCGAGGACGAGGACGAGGCCATGGTGGTGGCCGTCATCCCGCGGCCCGAGCCGATGCTCAGAGGTGAGGGGAGGGGACTCCACTTCCGCGTCACCGTCGGCCTCGCGTTTCCCTCCCCGGTCGGACGCCCGGCGCTTAGCTTGCTGGGGCTCAAGCTTTCGGCCCCAGCACCCCTCACCTCTCCGAGGCACCTCCCTTGCCCCCTCATCCCCCGTCTGGGGCCGGGGCGCCCCTTCCCCCTCAGATCGGGGCCCCGGCGCGCGCTCTGGCTCCGCCCCCAACAAGGTCTGGAATCTCCGGCCTCCCCCGCCCTCGCCCGGGGTCTGGAGCCTTCCATATCCACGCCCGACTCGCTCCGGATCTTCCTGTGCCCGAGCGCCCCCTTGCCCAGGCCCAGCGGGAGCGCTCGGAACTCCGGCGGCTCCGGTGTCTGCGGCCGCGGCCTCGGGCCCCTGGGAGACGGAGACCGCCGGCCCAGGGGCTACTGTGCCGCAGGCCGAGGGGCGGCGAGGCCTCCAGGGCTGCGCGCGAAAGCCGGGTGTGGGGGCGATCCGGGTGATGGTGGCGGGCGCCCACCGGGGCCCGCGAGAAGGACGTGAAGAGCCCTCGAGGCTTAAAGCCCATCCCCACTCCATCCAGATCTGCTGCTCGGTGTGAGCCACAGGTGTCAGATTCTAGAACTTCAGGCTGAATGGAATTGCAAACAGCACCCAGTTTTGGGAAAAAAGTGCTGGGTGAGGAAGCCACTCAGCCATCCCAGAAGTAAACAGGCCAAAGGGAGACTCGTTCTGGGAATGCGCCCTCTCCCTTATTCCTTTCTCTAGTTTCGTGGGTCCTCTGGACCTTGCAAACCAGAAGAAAACAAAGGGCCACCTGCGAGGGAGACTTAATGTTTATGGAGATGCAGATACCTTTTCACATTCCTGGAGCCTTTACTTTAGGGAGACTCTCCCCCCCAAGAGGTGGAGGGTAAGGCCTCAGTTTACCTTACCTTTTGACAAGTAAAGGTCGAGGGCCTCTTCCCCTCATCCTACTTGGAAACAGGAAGGCTGTAAAATGAAGACATAAGGCCACTCACTGCCTTTGTCAGAGCTCTCAGTCCAGCAGCGTAGTTGCCTTACTAATACTGTTTCCGGAGTGCAGGATGCCAGGTCTCAGTTAATTCTGTCAAGCTGCTGCCTTGTCCCCATCCTTGGGGGTAAGTAAGTACAAGTCCAGAGAAGTTAATTCACTGGACAGATATGGGGGGGGGGCACTTAACTGTATGCCAGGCATTGTATTAGGCCTTAGGCTAATGTCTGTAAACAGGAAACTGCTCGCTGGAATGTGTGTATTTGTAGTTAGAATTGAAGGTAGGTCAGCAGGTGGACAGATGTAGAACATGTCAGATGGGGCAAGTGGTCAAGAGGGCTTTAAGCAGAAGAGTGAGATGAGTGTTTTACTGGAACTACTGTATGAACCGGAGTGGCTTCCCAAATAGAGTGAATTTTGTTCATGGACCTGGAGGAAGTGAGAGCGAGTGAAGAGCCTACAGGCTGAGAACAGCAAGGACAAAGATCCTAAAGCAGGAGCTTCTTCAAAGATTGGGAACGAGGCGGGGGGCATGTTCAGATGCAGAGGTGGGATGATACACTGAGTCCAGGTTTCGTTGAGGCCATCAGCCCAGTGAGCCCGAGGCCTGAGCCCAGGTCGCTCTGGTGACTCCAGGGGGTCTTCAGTGAGCGCCTTGTCAACATTTCTAAATGTTGCTGTGTGCCAGTGCTGTCCCCAGGTTGGAGGTGCAGATGTGAACATGGGCACCCCAGGCTGAGCTGGCACCTGTGGTGCAATGGGACACAGTGCAGGCCCTGGAGGAAGCAGAGGGGAGAAGAGTGGGTGTGTGTTTATCCCATCCTTGCAGGTGGAAGCAGTGTCACCCTGAAGGACCGCAGGCACTTCAGATGCACTGAGCAGCTGCTGGGCAGACCAGAGGGGACAAGGGTACAGCTGCAGGGCTCCGGGCTCTGGGAGCCTCTGCAAGAGAGCCCAGTTCTCAGGAATGGGGTGGCCTTTTGAAGGCATCTCAGCGGCAGGAGGAGGCAGCATTCACCAACCAACACTCATTGAGCATCTTCTGTTTGCCAGGGACAGTGAGATGATAAAATTCACTATCTTCATCCCCAGAAAGTGTGCACGGTGACGTGGAAGTCAATATGGGTATAACCCATGGCTCAGAGTGGGGCATCCGGAAAGGTTTCACAGGACTGGGGTTTGAGCAGGCCATGGAGGATGTGGAGGAATTTGTCAAGGTCCTCAGAGTGGTCTGGAGCCATGTGCCAAGTTGAAGACATGTCAGAATGGGTCCCCATTGGGAAACATTGCCATGGGCACCTGCAGGTTGAGGGAAGGGTAGAGGAAGAAGCTGGATGGCAAGATAACTGGCCCCCAGGAGAAGAGGGGAAAGATGGTAGGGGTGCTTACCCCACATCCTCACCAGCCAGTTTGGAGAACTGTGTTCTGCGTGTCATGGCTGCCAGCACCTGGGCTGACATCACCCTCCCCTCTGCTCCTCCACAGTGGCCCAGCAGGAGAAGCCCCCACTGCCCAGGCCCACCCTGCTTGAGGCCAGCAGCGATGGCTATGAGGAACCCAAGCAGCAAGTGTCTTGGGAACAGGAGTTCCTGGTGGGGAACAGCCCCGGAGGCAGCGGGCGGGCGCTGTGCATGGTGTGTGGGGCCGAGATCCGGGCCCCCTCAGCAGACACAGCACGCACACACATCCTGGAGCAGCACCCTCACACCCTGGACTTGAGCCCATCCGAGAAGAGCAACATCCTCGAGGCCTGGAGTGAGGGGGTGGCCCTGTTGCAAGATGTCAGAACTGAGCAGCCGTCCCCGCTCAACTCAGGTAGTAGGGGAGTTGGGGGGTCAGGGTTGGTCTGTGGGAGCTTGGTGCTCACTGGCCCATGGCCCCTTCAGACTCAGGCCAAGACATCGATGGAGACCCAGACAACAGTGCAGACCCTGCCAAGATGCCAGCTGAGATTGTGGTTCTCCTGGACTCTGAGGACAACCCATCCCTCCCCAAAAGGATTCGGCCCAGGGGACTCCGCCCCCTCGAGCTTCCTGGTCAGTCTGCAGGGAGGGGAGCCTGTGAGGAGGGGTGGCCCAGGCCCAGGCCCATTTTTGGGTGGAGAAAGTCTGGCAGACCACGGGTCTTCCCGAAGTTGTAGGGCTGGGGCATGGCCCCTTATGAAAGATGTGTGGGCTTTCCTCTCGGCAGCTGCCCCTGTCATGGAGCCTGGGAGCAAGAAGCTTCGTGGTCAGAGATGGAAGGAGCCTCCTGGGGATGAGCCAGTCAGAAAGAAAAGAGGCAGGCCCATGGCCAAAAACCTGGGTTTGGACTTGGACCTGGACCCTGATCCTGACCCAGGTGAGGGGGTCTGGGGTGAAGGCCAGGGCGAGGCAGAGCACCTACACCTCACCCGAGGCCTTGGGCTCAGACCTGAGGCTTCTGGCCTCCTGGGTTCATAACCCTGTCCTGTCTTTCCTCCCAGAACCCCCATCACCTGACTCCACAGAGTCCACAGAGACGTTTGCAGCACCTGCTGAGGTCCGGCACTTCACTGACGGCACCTTCCCCCCTGGCTTCGTCCTCCAGCTCTTCTCCCACACTCAGCTCAGGACCTCAGACAGCAAGGACCCCCCCAAAGAAGGGGGCATACCAGAAGGAGGCCTTTCCCAGCTGGAAAGCCCCCCTGCAGGTGAGAAGTCAGGCTGTGCCCCCCTGGGTCTGGTCTACAGCAGAGATCCCTGGGGTAGGTGTAGGGTGTTCGCCCCGAGTCCCCTGGGAGAGGGGGCCAAGGGTAGATGGATCTGAATGACTCAGAGTTGCACTTTTCTGAGCACTCCTTGGATGATCCCAGTATCCTGGCATCAGTGCCTAGGTTGGGTAGCCGTGTCCCCCCCAGATCCCACACCTGTCCCCATATTCAAGGTGTATTCCAACAGGAGCCTGAGAGGGTTCCATCTCGCTCTGGTGGGTAGGGGTCAGAACAGGACAGTTAGCAGAAAACAGAAGAGCCAGCCAGGGGGAACACTTGACAGACCATCTAGGTGAGCGTTACTCAGAGTCACCTTGCAAGGGCATGGCACTTGGCTGGATCGCGTACTACTGATTTTAAGAAATTTCTGTGTAGTTCCTTTGGCCCTTACAAAAATATCTTCCAGAAGGAGAGACCAAATCTCAGAGACTATTCCCTTTTTCCCATGGTTCTTGTCCCCCTTTTTGGTGGCCATGGTCATAAAGTACCACAAATTTGGCAGTGAAAAACAATATATGTGTGTGATCCTCTGCTGTGGAGGTCAAAAGCTGGCCCAGTTCCCTCCAGGAAGCCCTAGGGGGTTCTGGGGGGACCCGTTTTCGAAAGTCTTGCCCAGCATCTGGCACCCACCACATACCTTGGCTGGTGGTCTGTAAACCAGCCCTGGCCGGCAGAGTATTAGGCTGCCTTCTTGTCTGACTCTTCTTCCCACTGAGGCCCCAGTGAGGGACACTAGGCCTACCCATGGGCCACTTGACCCGCTTCACTGTAAAGTCAGCTACTGAGTGATGTGGACTCCACTGCCGGCTCATCCTTCCTCACGGCGGGACACATGTCACAGGGCTGGGGCTGAGCCCGGGGCATCTTCTGGCCCCAGTCACATGACCAAGCAGTGGCAGGAAGCACATGAGGCCGGAACTCAACCCAGGAGAGCTGGGACTGAGGCGGGTCCCTCTCTCAGTCTTGCCAGTTGAGTTCAGAAAAGAGTGGATGTATGTCAGGAGTGCCTGCTGCCCTGAAGTGTGCATTTGGAGATGGAGCCTCAGAGCCTGGCACTGGGGTGTTGGGGTGTCCCAGAGCAGGGCTCTCCAAAAGGTGTTCTTGTATGGAGAAGAAGCAGCGATGCCACTTCCCCAGCTCTACCCCTTCTGGGGGCAGCTAGTACTGATTAATAGTTTGGTTTGTGTCATTCAGATCTCTTACACAGTGGGGGTTTGTGTGCATGTGCATGTTGACGTGGCTCTTATTCCTTATTTTACCAAAATGGGCTCCGCTTTTCTGATCTCAGGCCTCGCGTCTCCGCAGCCTCCCGTGGCATCTCCACAGCTTCCCGTGGCCACTAAGGGATGTGCCGCCTCCGCTAGTGGTCTCCTGGCTTCATTCTCAAAAGGGAGCCTTCTTTTGAGCCCTGTCTGCCCTGTGCTCAGACTACGCCTGCCTGGAGTTCATTTGGGGTGAATGGGCAAAGTCAGACTGAGGGGTTCAGTTTACTGATCGAAGGATGTAAGGGATGGAGGCGCCGAGGAGGTATCTCACTAGTGGGCATGGAAGCTGGGGGTTGGCCTGGAAGCCAGAGGCTGAGGACAGCACAGGGGTCCCGGGCCCCGCCCTGGAGACACTATCAGAAGTGGCGTGAGGGGGCTGCCTTTGTCCCTGAGAAACAGGCACTGTCAGGGGGTACACATGGGAGGCGGTGAGGCAAAAAGACTGTTGGGTGCCCACAGTGCTTCTGCACTGAGCAGAAGCCCCAGAGGAGTGGATTTAGGAACCCGAAGCTTAAACAGATTTTTTCAGGAACCTTTGAGGCTTTGACAAGTTGTCTGTGCTCTGGGTCACTTGATGTGTTCAAGTTCTAGAAGATTTTATTTGAATAAAGGTCCTAGCACTTAAAAAAAAAAAAAAAGTTTAGAAATCAAGGATTTAGAAGCTGGAAAAGGTCACTGTGGTCAGGCCAACTCCCTGATAGAAATGGGTGTGAAGCAGTCAATGAAGACCTTCTGGAACAATCCAAGGGTCTTAGAGGATGAGGGTGAGGGAGGGTGTCCAGACCAGGAGAGAAGGGAGTCCTGAGGATCCCCCCAGAGATAGTGGGGAAGAGCCCATCCGTTTTGATGTTTAAGTGGGCCTTGACTTGGGGCCCAGCTCTGGGGGCCTGGGCTGGACACAGTGGGCCTCCCTGCTGGATCAAGGAATAGCAAGGTGCGCGTTAGGGAGGGAGCACAGGACCTTGCTTTTGAGGGCAGGTCTCATCTGCGCTGTCTCCTCAGCTCCTAGCACAGTGCCTGGTGCAGAGAGCGCTCAGTTGGGTCTCATGCACGGGTGGAGGCAGCCTCCCCCTGCCTGTACGAACATAGGCTTGCACAAATGTCGGGAGCAGACAGTGTGACCCTGGGGGAGCACAGGCATTTGGGCAGGTCTGGGTTGGGGTGGTCTGGGCCCACAAAAGTTCTGGCTTGTGCTTTTGTGCCCCTGGTTCTTTGATCATGTTTTCTGGAAAGATGACTCTGCCTCTTCTCAGGCCTCACTCCTGCTTACACCCCACTGCCTCCTGCCCCTACCAGCAAGGTCAGCTTTTAATTTCCTTGAAAGCACCTCACTTAGAAAGCTCTTTCTGTGCGCTGAGCTCCTTCAGACGTTACCTCCCACAGTGGGATTCCCATTCTATTGGGAAACTCGGTGCGCTCACCAAGGAGCAGCTCGAGGCTCTTCTCTCCCACCACCAGCTTTGTTCTCTCTTCTGGATCTCCCTCCACAAAACTGACTTCTGTCTCCAGCCACTGTCCTGCTTGTCCCCCAACCTTTACAACAGAGTTGGAGGCACATTCTCTGTTAACTGCCTCCGGCCTCCAGCCACTTAGGGCCATTCTCATCATTTATCCAGAACCGCACGCATCCCCCAGCTCACCGGTGTCCCAACCCCTGCTTTTTTGTCAAGGTCAGTGGACTCGCACCAAGTGAAATCGAGCAGTCAGTCCTTAGCCTTAGCCCCTCCTGGCTGCAGCCCCTCTGCGTGGGAGGTGCCCTCCGCCTGTGGCCTCGCGGGCCCCAGTGCCCTGCTCTCTTCTGCCTCACTGGCTGTTCTTGTTGCTGTTTCCTGTAGTCTTAGCTGCCCATGTTGGCGCCTTCTGTTCCCTCATCCCCTTTCTAGCTCTCAGGCTCCTTCAGGTCGGGAAGATGCTGTGTGTCCCATGGTGATACACCACGCCCGGCACGGAGCAGGTGCTGTGTCTGCACAGAAGGGAAGAGACGACCCATTGCCCTGGCTGCAGCCGAGCATCTCGCTCCCATGTGATCTCTTTAGGTCACCCTTTCAAGGGTGCGTCACGTGCTCACAAACCATCTTTGTTCCCGTCACTCACCCCTGAGGTTGGACGTGTCTCTGGGTACCCACATCTCTCCAGTTGCCCTGTGACCTCTTCATGTGGTTGTCTGAACGACCTCAAACTCAGTGTGTCCAGACTGAACCCCCCCTTTAATCCCCACAACCCAGCCCCTCTATGTCTCTTCTATCTTCCCTTCTGCTTTTCTTAAGAATTCCTGTGCCAAACCCTCGGAATCATTCTCCTGTCTCTTAAATCCCCACAGCAAATCCTGTTACCTCAGCACGGAATTGTGTCCTTGTTCCCCGTCCTGGCTGATTTTTACCTCCACCCATATGGAACATATTTCTGTACCCACCTAACTTAGGGCATCTTTTAGCTGTTCATCCTGTGCCTTGGTTCAACCAATGTTACGTAAATTCCGAGAGGAACTGGGCCTGCTCCAGCCAGCTGCGCTCGTGGCAGCTAGAACACAGCTGGACGCCATGTGCGTGCTCCGTGGCCCCCACTGTGCTAAGAAACAAGAGTGTGGTTTGGCCTTCGGGGAGCTTGCAGGGAGATAAGCCCCTGGTCTGACCCAGCAGTGGCTTCTACGTCATTTTAAGCTACCTGGCTGGCGAAATCATAGTTTCTTCTACATTTTAAGTTATTGTGTCTCTAAAATCAAGGTAGAGTGAGATCCCCTCCAACGCAGACCCTGCAACAGTTCACACACACTTTGAGGTTTTGCCTTCAGCATAAGGGCTATGCCGTAGCCCCCGCGTGACAGGCCATGCTGCCGACTTGAGGCCTGGTTTTGCCCATATCAAGGAGCTTCTCTACTCCAATAGCACGAACTTGACCAGGGCAGGGAGGGTGCTGTGACCCTGGGAGAGGATGAGCCAGCTGGGGTGCACGCTCCTTCTACCCACCTAATCACTCAGGGACTCCTGTGGGCAGAACCCCATCTTGCTCTGCACTGAGCATTCCCTGCCTGTCACCTCTGTCCACACTGGGCAGAGCCCTGCTGGCTGGGACACCCAAGTTTTAGGTGGACCAGAGTCTACAGTGAACTGCGGGGGGGACAGGCTGAGCAGCCACATGCCCATAGCAGAGGGTGCGGGGCGCTGACTGTCAGGAGGCCTGACCTTGACTCCGGTTGGCTGTGGTCCTGAACCAACCCAGAGTGAGCCTCCCACTGCTTCCCCACCAGGCGCTGGTCTGTGGGAAGGGCAGGGTTACAGGGAAATCAGGACTGTCCTCGGGGTATCTGGAGGACCTGACTCTCTGCTCCTACCCTGTGCAGCTCCCCCTCCGGGGCTTCGAGGGACACTGGATCTCCAGGTCATCCGCGTGCGGATGGAGGAGCCTCCGGCAGTCAGCCTCCTTCAAGACTGGTCCAAACACCCCCAGGGCACCAAGGGTGTGGGAGCAGGTGACACCCCAGACTGGCCCGCAGTCTTGTCGGAATCTGGCACCACAGTGGGGCACCAGCCAGAGGCGGGGAGTAGTGTGTAGGTTCTTGCTTTTCTGGGGAGGGTGGGAGGCAAGGGGCAGCACCCTCTTTGGCTTATCACTCAGAGCTGCCCAGCTAGGCCACCTATTGGAGAGAGTAAGACCAGGTGCTGGGGCAGGGTAGAGGAGAGGAGGGGCAGCTCAGCTGTTACCTGGGGCACTAGAATGTCGCTTCATGGCCAGGTGTGAGCCTGGGCCCTGCGGTGCCATGGGCGCGGGGGTCTGTGTGTGGTAGGGCACTGGGCTTGTGGAGAACACCCACCCGATCCTTTTGCTGACCCAGACCTGTCCCTGGCCTCATCCCTCCCTCTGAGCCCCCACCATTCTCCCCTGGCACAGTGCCTTACACAAGAGGTGGTCATTAAGGGGTTTGAACTGAGTCCCACTACCTCGGGGGACGCCTCTCCTCCCCCATCCGTTCAGGGTCCTACACCAGGAGCCCTCCATTACCTCTTCCCACTCCATCCCTGCAGGTGGCCAGAGCGGCCCACCTGTGGGCTCCACTCGCCCTCACTTTTCACCAGTATTCCTGTTGTATATATCTCCTTTGTTGACAATAAATTATTTTTTTTTATTAAGACAGTTCGTCTGGGCCATCATTGGGGGAATAGGGTGTTGGCAGGTGATCTGGCCCTTGCACCACTGTCCTGGATGGGAGCCAGAAAGCCAGCTGCCCCAGAGGCTGGAGTGGGGCCAAGGCTGGAAGACTGGGGCCCCTCACTCCCTCACATGTCCTTGTCCTTGAAATGAGGTCAGAAGCACCTTCTCTTTAACATCTCCTACCTTCTGACTCAACACTGGGCATCTGTCCAGGAGAGGCCATGGTGGGAGTGGGGGCCTGCTCAAACCTTAGGGGCTGACACTTGACCTTTCTCTCGTGCAAGGGCTGCATCCAGCCTTGGGGGGAGCTGACTCCCTCACAGTGAACCCTGAACACGATCCTGCCTTTGACCCTTCTGCTCTGCACACAGCTGCCAGCTTTCCCACCCTCTCCCAGGCTTCCTTAACCCAAATCTTGGTCAGGCTCCCCATTTCCCTGGGCCAGGTCAGGAGGTGCCCCCACTTTCCCCTCCTCACCAGATCCCTTACTCTCCAGGACCAACCAGCACAGGCCAAATCCTTGTTGGGGTTTGTTTTTCCCTTTGGGGACCAGGTGCTCCCTCTGAGACTAGGAAGCAAGCTCCCTGGATGAACAGGGACTCCACCACTGCATTCCAGGGTGCTGGGTGGACTTGCAGGATGCCTGTTCTCATCCACCACCCACCCCCCTGCTTCCGAGACTGAGCAGAAGGCACAGCCTGAGCTGGGAGGGCCCTGGGCACGAGCGAGCTGTGCTGGGTGCTGACCACTGGTGGCCAGCCTGGGCCAGACCAGGTGTGCGTGACCTCATGCCCTTGCCCTGCAGGGACCCCTCCCCAGCTGGTAGGCTCTGGAGGAGCACAAAGATGCTTGGGGCCCTGGTTGGCGCAGAAATAAACAACAGGTTCAGGACACCTGGTCCCCAAGGCAGCTTGGCCACCGTGGGAATGGCAGCTGATTCCCAGAACCCCCACCGGTGTCTGGTAGGTTGCATCCTACCTGATAGGCAAGAATGTGAATAATGCTGAATGCTCTGAACACCAAATGGATTCTCGCTGATGCTTTCTGTCGGTCCTTTCAGTCATGTGGCTGTTTACATTTATGCTGACGTGCTTTCCAGCAGTGTGGCTGTGTTGCTGGGTGTCCACCATTCAGAAAATACGTTAGAGCTCGTGAGGTCGTGGCGCTTGGCGCGCCTTGGCTGCGGTGAATGTGCTTGCTGTTGGGCCACTAGACTGCGCTCCTTGGGGCAGGGCCTGGCTTTTGTTGACTTCACCTGCTCACACCCTGCAGCAGGCCTGGCACATGGCAGGTGCTCAAGAAATGTTCGTCAAGTTCTCTTCGGTGTGTGTTCCTGTATGACACTTAGCCAGCGCAGGAAGGTCCCCAGAGTGGGGTTCTTTGCACCGAGGGGCTGCCCCACAGCAGCTGGTGGCAGCCTTGTTCTGGGACTTCACCCTCTGCCCCCACCCTGGCCAGCTGGGTCTTTTCTGCTTCAGCAGGCTCAGGAGACTGGGTGAGCCTGTGTGTCTGGGAGCCTGTGGACACCTCTGTGCTTCCAGGGAGAGGTGGGGAGAGCGGAGCCCAGGGCCTGACCCGTGGGGCATGGCAGGGGGCAGGTGTGGAAGGTAGTTTCTGAATACAGATAAGGATCATTTGGGGACCCCTCGCCCAGGACCAGAGCTCCCAGCCTGAAGAAGGAGCCCTGTAACACACACCAAAGCAGCTTCCCTTCCCAGGACCAGAGCTCCCAGCCTGAAGAAGGAGCCCTGTAACACACACCAAAGCAGCTTCCCTTCCGTAAGACCCCGAGGCTGGCGGTGGCAACTTTGTCCAAGTGTGATGGGGAGACCCACTCACAACTGTTGAAAGAAGGTGCTGCTGCACCTGCCTTGGGAACCACACACTGTGCCTTAGTCCCCAACACCCCTGTGCTTGGCAGCCTCTCGCCTGGGGCTGGGAGAGGTCTCCGCAGGAGTGTCACAGCTAAGGCGGGGTAAGGACACAAAGTCTCAGGCAGGAAAGCAGCCCCTAGCCTGACCTCCCCTTCCTCTGCGTGGGGTCCCCTTCCAGGATGACCTCCCCTGGCAGCACACCTACTGCTTACAGGTACAGTGACAGGTAAGGTGGTTCCCCAACACCCCAGTGTGCACTTTGCCAGCTCTTTGCGGCCAGGCATGCTCACACTGGCTCAGGCCCAGACTCCCCTAGAGGGTACTGCCTCATGGGCTACCACAAGGGCCTGTGGGAAGGAAGGAGGGGCACGTGGCCTCCCTGACAAAGCACATAGATAGCCAATCTCAGGCCCCACCTCCTGGAGGCCCGGCAGGGGGCCGGACCTTGGGTGACCACTGTTGGTGGCTTCTGATTCCACAAACCTGATTGAAGACCCCTGTGGGCAGCACTGTTAGAAATTGCAATGTGGGGCTCTCCCTGGTGGCACAGTGGGTTGAAGCATGGCATTATGAGGCTCTCCAAGGCCACTGCAGCATGAGCTCGATCCCCGGACAGGGAGCTGACCCACATGACATAGCAGACCTCTCCTGATCCGCCCTCTGCTCCCCTCAGCAGTGTACTTTGTCAGTTTGCCTGTTCTGCTCCCCACTCTGTCTCAGGTGAATGCTCTCACCCACCACATCTCTGGCCTGTACCCCAGTTCTGAAAGCATAATAAATAAATCTTTTTAAAAAAAATTGCAATGTGCAGACAACATCTGTCCCAGTGCCCATTGAGTCACTCCAGATGGTGCATGTGGTATATGTGGTGACGAAGCCCAGCACCTCTATTGCTCTGGTGCTAGGGCAGGTGCCCAGGTACTTTACTGCACCTAGGTTCTGGCAGCTGCAGGGATCATGCCCTGTGCCTGGCAGTATGAAATGGAGGGGCTCAGTACAACCACCCCAGTTGATAAAGGTGGGAACCAAGCTGAGCATTTTGAGAGAGAAGTCTACTCCACACCTGCCCTTTTCTTCAGAAAATGGCCCTTGGGCTCCTGAGAACCTTGGGCCCCTGGGCAGGATCTGGCATTGCCTCAGGTATCTCTTGTTTGGCTCAGGTCGGAGGCCACAGAGGCAGGGAGGATGCCATCAAGGTGACACAGGCTGCTCTAAAGGGTAGAGTTTGTAGGTCTCCTAGCCACACCCTACATGAGCTTGGGTGAATCCTCTTGTCCCTCACCATGGTGCCCTGTTTTCCTGGGTGAGCAGTTAGCCACTGAGAGATTCACCCAGGGCTCTCCGAGGTCAGAACTGTGGTTGAAACAGCTGCTCACAGACAGTACATTTGGTGTTGGGCTCAGGGGCTTTGCAGACCCAGACCTGCAGCAACAAGCCACCCACAAGGGGAGACACCCCAACAGAGGCTTCTGGATGTATGACAGCTGGGCCTCCCTGGTGACCAGGGGCTGAGGCTCAGCGCTGTTACCTCTACGTTCTGAGTTCAACCCCCGGCCAGGGAGGTGACCCACAGGGAGCAGCAATCCTCTCCTGTCTCCCTGCTGCTCCCCTCAGCAGTGGATTTCAGTCAGCCTGCCTGTTCTGCTCTCCACTCTGTCTCTGGTGAATCTTCTCATGGCTCTCTCACCACACCTGTGGTCTATACCCAAATTCTTGTATACATAAATAAATAAATCTTCAAAAAAAAAGGATGTCTGATGGGAATAGTGTCACATGGAAAGTGGCATGATAGAGGGTGCTATGCTAGTTCCCTACACAACCCAAAAGAAGAAAGCCTGCCCTCAAGAGTATGACGTGATTGGCCCTCCCTGGTGGCGCAGCAGGTTAAAGCACTGCACTAAGAAGCTAAGGCCACTTCCGCTTGGGTTCGATTCCCGCCTGCCCCGGAGGTGACCACATGGCGTGGCAGACCTCTCCTGGCCAGCCTGCTGCTCCCCTCAGCAGTGTACTTTGTCGATCTGCCTGTTCTGCTCCCCACTCTGTTCCTGGTGAATCCTCTCACCCTCCGCGTCTCTGGCCTGTACCCCAGTTCTGTATGAATAAATAAATAAATTAAAAAAAAAGTATGACATGATTGGGTTTATCTTTTTCTTTCTTTCTTTAAAGATTTATTTATTTATGCATACAGAACTGGGGTACAGGTCAGAGGTGAAAGGGTGGTGAAAGGCTTTAGAGACTGTAGGGAGCAGAACAGGCAGATCGACGAAGTACACTGCTGAGGGGAGCAGTGGGAGAGACAGGAGAGGTTCTGCCGCGCCATGTGGGTCACCTCCGGGGTCGGGGATCGAACTCTCACTGACACGCTGCAGCCAGCTTGCAGTGCTGTGTCCTAACCCATGGCACC